ACCTTTCCTAATTTTAAATCATTTGATGTCCCCTTGTTCTGTTCAAACAACTTCCTTTTGGTCTATTTACAGGTTCCTCATGAGCATAATTAAGTGTTCTGGAATACTATTCTCTGCAATGTAGTCCATAATTTATCATGATTTACACAATCGAACGCCTTTGTGTAGTCAATAAAGCATAGGTATACATTTTTCTGGTATTCTCTGCTTCCAACCAACATCAATCTGATATCAGTAATGATATTCCTCATTCCACGTCCTCTTCTGAAACTGACTTGAGCCTTTGGAAGCTCTCTGTCAATATATGGTTGCAGCCATTTTTGTATTGTCTTTAACAAAATTTTACTTGCATGTGGTATTAATGATATTGTCCAATTATTACCTTATTCTATTGGGTCACTCTCCCTGGAATGGGCACAAATATGGATCTCTTCCATTCTGTTGGCCATGTAGTTTTCTTCTAAATTTCTTGGCATAGATGAGTGAGTGCCTCCAATGCTGCATTAGTTTGTTGAAATATTTCAATTTTATTCCATCAATTCCCAGTGCTTTGTTCTTTGCTAATGCCTTAAATTCGCCTTGGACTTCTTCCTTCAGTATCATTGGCTCTTGATCATACATTACTGATTGAAATCATTGAATACTGACCATTTGGAGGGGGGGGGCTACAGTAACTCTGTGTATTCCTTTGATCTTCTTTTGATGCTGTCTATATCACTCAATATTTTGGCATAGAATCCTTCAATATTACAAGTTGAAGCTTGGAATTTTTCTTCAGTTCTCTCAGCTTGAGAAATGCTGAGCATATTTTTCCCTTTTGATTTTGTAAATCCTAGAAGTTAGGATTACAACACATATTTTGGGGGCACTCAGTTCAATCCCTAGCACTCAACTTTTTGCTCCACCCAGATTCATGTCCTTGCTACTTGAAAACATATTCATCCCATCCCATTATACTCATTGTCTTAAATGAACTCCAGGTCCAAATTTTCATCTTCTGAATCATCTAAATGAAATATGGGTGAGATTTTAGGTATATTCCTCCTTGGAGCAAAATTATTCTTCTCTGTGAACCTGTGAAATTCAGAATACAATTATCTGATTACAAAGTACAGTGGCAGAACAGGCAAATGGTAGACATTTCCAGTAAAAAAATAGAAGAAATTAGAGGGAAAGAAGGGATGATGTACACCTGTTGTTGTTGTTAAGTACTATGGAGTTGGTTCTGACTCATAGTGACCCTGCATAGGGTTTCCGAGGCTGCAAATCTTTATGGGAGCAGAAAGCCTCATGTTTCACCCGTGGAACAGCTGGTAGTTTCGAACTGCCTACCTTGAAGTTAGCAGCCTAATTTGTAACCACTACGCTACCAGAGGTCCTTGATGTACACCTACCAAGTCCAAAATCCAGAAGCACAATTACATTAATTCACAAGGCTTGAAAATCTTTGTTCTTTGGGACCAGGACTGGCCCTATCCACACCCTCTGTATTCTGTGCTTGAGCTCTGCCTTCCAGGATCTCTGGATGGCAACTCTGCTCCACCCTATTGTCTTAGCCCCAGTAGGCCACATTCTTCTACCCCTTGGACATGGTAATCCCACCTTCTCAGCTTTTAAGTTATGGTGTTGGAGGAGAATATTGAAAGTGCCATGGGCTGCCAAAAGAACCAATAGATCCATTTTGGAAGAAGTGCAGCCAGAGTGCTCCTTGGAGGCCAAGAGGGCCAAACTTTGTTTCTCATACTTCAGACATATTGTCAGGAGGGACCAGTCACTGGAGAAGGACATCAAGTTTGGTATGGTGGAGGGTCAGAGAAAAAGAGGAAGACCCCCAGCGAGATGGATTGGCAAGTGGCAGCATCAGTGGGCTCAAGCATGACAACAATTGTGAGGTTGGTCCAGGACCGGGCATTGTTTTTGTTCTGTTGTGCATAGGGTCACTATGAGTTGGTACCAACTCAATGGCACCTAACAACAACAACAACAACAACAACAGCTTTTTTAGTGACTCCATTGCCCTGGTATACCTTAAAAGCAGCAGCATACTGCAGAACCCAGCTGGTAAAGATTGGACTCTTTGAAACCTAGGAAGCTATTTCTCCACCCTTTGAAACAGGGAAGACTCTGCTTCCTGTGCTCCTTCCAGTAGTTCTGCTTGAAACAACAGATATAGCTCCTTTGGCTTGTTTACTGACTGTAGAATTCCAAGAGTCAGATGGTGTTCTTGCCTTTCATGCTCTCTTTGTCCCTGTGATAGTTAAGGTTTTGTGTCAAACTGTCTTGAACAGAAGTCTCTGTAGTTTAGAGTTATAATGTGATCTGGTGTGATCAGCTCTGATCTGATATATATGTGTTGAAAATCCTCACTTCAGTGATGTTAATGAAGCCAGATGCATTCTACAGGATTAGGTTGTATTTTGCATTAATCTTTTTTGAGATATGCAAGGCGAGAGAAGTGAGCTGAGTTCAGAGGGACCTACCACCAAGATAGAAGAGCTGGGAATAGAGTGCATCCTTTGGACCTGGAGTCCCTGCACTGTTGCCAAGACACATGGAGATTGCCAAGGAATACTGGGCCTACAGATGCTGAATGAAGACAAGAAGGACCATGTTCCAGAGATGGTGCTCTGAATTTGGACTTGTAGTCTCCCAAACTGTGAGAGAATACATTTCCATTTGTTCAAGCCATTCACTTGTGGTATTTCTGTTATAGCAGCACTTGATAACTAAGACAGTCCTTTTCAGTCGAAATTGATAGGCTTTCTGCTGTAGTAGTTGGTTAGAGTCATCAGTGTCAACTTTAATCTCTGTAACAAAAGATTGTGTAGTCACACCTTTGGTGAAAAATCTAGGACGCATGTCCTTATTTTGTACAACAGAGTTTTAAAAATCTTTAAGTTTTGTTTTTATTTTGTACAGTTCATTTTGAAGTCCATCTTGTTCTTCTAGCATTTTACTATTAAATGACAAAGAGAAACCATGTAGTCCCAGCCAGAACTTGCATAGAAACCTTCTCAGGCAGATATTCAATTTCATCACTTCTAAGTTCTACCTTCTACCAAACATTGAACATAATTCAGACAAGTCCTTTGCTACTGCACAACAATCATCACCCTTCCTCCATTGTCCAATCACATGTTCATACTTTTCTCTTAAAGCCTTGCCAGAAGCACATTTACTGTCCACAGGAACCACAGGAAAGCTCAACACTAGTTTTGAAGAAGGCTTCATTTTGGTGGGCTTCTCAGATTGGCCTCAACTGGAACTTGCCCTTTTTGTGTTGATTTCCGTTTTCTACTCCCTAACTCTCTTTGGCAATACTATGATCATCGTTCTCTCCCACCTGGATCTTCGGTTGCATACACCCATGTACTTTTTCCTCAGTCACCTTTCTTTCTTGGACCTCTGCTACACCACCAGCACTGTGCCACAGCTTCTGATTAATCTTCATGGACCTGACCGGTCCATCACCTATGGAGGGTGTGTGGCCCAGCTCTTTATCTCCCTCGCATTGGGTTCCACTGAGTGTGTGCTTCTGGTGGTGATGGCCTTTGACCGCTATGCTGCTGTCTGTCGACCACTCCACTACATGACCATTATGCATCCCCATCTCTGCCAGACCCTGGCTGTCATCTCCTGGGCAGGAGGCTTCATGAACTCTTTAGTTCAGACAGGCCTCATGATGGCCATGCCCCTCTGTGGCCTCCATCACCTGAACCACTTCTTCTGTGAGATGCCTGTACTCCTAAAGCTGGCTTGTGAAGACACACAAGGGACAGAAGTGAAGATGTTTGTGGCCCGAGTCATCATCTTGGTTGTTCCTGCAGCACTAATTCTAGGCTCCTATGTACACATTGCTCAGGCAGTACTGAAGGTCAACTCAACTGCTGGAAGAACAAAGGCTTTTGAGACTTGTGGATCTCATCTCTTGGTGGTTTCACTTTTTTATGGCTCGGGCATCTACACATACCTCCAACCTACACACAGTTATTCTCAGAGTAAGGGAAAGTTTGTTGCCCTTTTTTATACTATAATTATCCCCATGCTCAACCCTCTGATTTATACCCTAAGGAACAAAGATGTGAAAGGGGCTCTAAGGAGGGTACTGTGGAAAGGCAGAGACTTAGGCTAGGAAGGGGAAAAGAGGATTAAAACAATTGTCTGTAATAGTACTCAGATCATGAAGCTCATCCTGTTCCTATTTTCGATAGAAATAGCCCTTGGTAGGCCTCACGGTTTTACCACCTTACCTTCCTTATTTGGGAGTTGGAAGGGGGACCTTTTGGTAGTTCTCTTCAGTTCAATGTCTATGATCATTTTACAGGAGGAAATAAGTATTGATCCGTTCCACAACTTTCCAAAGAAATGAGTTTGGAAAGGGGATATTGTGGCCACTTTTGGAGAGGGTCTGGGTTTTAGTCAAGCCTGAGAATGAAAGAAGACTTAATTGAAAATGATGGCACCTTTTCTAAAGTCAGCAGTGCCAGGATGGTGCCATGTAAGTGTACCCAAAGACTAAGGACAGGAGTTCACTCCTGCTCTTCTAAAAATTATCTTGACCCTGACAATCTCAGGGCCCATTTCTAAGGTCTCTTACATAATATGATGTTTAGAGCAAATAAAGAAATCATGAACAGAAGTACTTATGTGGAGCATGTAGCGTCTAAGACATGAATGCTATTTACCTACTTGAAGAAAAAGACAAAATCACTAAGGTGCACCAACATTTTATCAGTTCCATGTAAAGTTATTTGGTAACATGGACAAGATATTTTACATGCAAAAAAAAGATAGAAAAAAATTGGTATAAAAATAATGAGCCAAGAAGTGATATATTGTTAAGTGCTCTCAAGTCAGTTCCAACTCAGAGCGACCCTGTATAGGGTTTCCAAGGAGTGGCTGGTGACCTTGAAACTGCCAACCTTGTGTTCAAACTGACTTTGCAGTCCAGTACTTTTTTTCACAGCACCATACCAGGACTCCAAAGATAGGCGAGAAAAAGAAATAGTAATGAATGACAGATGCAAAACAGAGATTCTTATGGTGGGAGGCAGGAGATTCTAGATCAAAGTGTGAAGACAATTGTTATTGTTGTTGTTATATGCCGTGGAGTTGGTTCTGACTCATAGTGACCCTTCACAGGGTTTTTGAGGCTATAAATCTTTACAGGAGCAGAAAACCTCATCTCTCTCCAGAACAGCAGGTAGTTTCGAACTGCTGACCCTGAGGGAAATTTCACTGTTATGTCATTCTATGTTGGTGTCATGTTAAGCTGTGGATGTCTTTGGTAATAATCTTTTACAGTTTCAATAATTTTACATATTGAGTTAACATTTTATGCCAATAACAATAACTAATACTAAGAGGCTTCAAAAGATAGTGGGAACATTCTATTATCTTTTAAATTTAATTTTTCCATGAACTTTTTAAAGCCCTTCATATTTTTATGTAATGTTTTAAAACCCAATGCAATTTTTGCATAAATTGTCATTAATACAGCAACATCATGAAATAGTTTTGATATGTTGTTGTTGTTAAGTGCTGTCAAGTTGGTTCTGACTCATAGCAACTCTGTATAGAGTTTCCAACGCTGGAAATCTTTAAAGAAGCATCAAGCCTCATCTTCCTTGGGTTGTGGCTGGTGGGCTCGAACCACTGATCTTGTGGTTCACAGTCCAGTGCTTATCCTACAGAGCTACATGTTGTATTCATTATGAAATAGAAGTTTCTAGAGTTTAAATAATTTATCCAAGTCAATGTAATAAACATGAGGTGAAGCTGAGCTCTAAGTTTCTGTAACCCTAAATCCAACCATTACCACCACACTCTGTCAATTCTCTTTTCTATGTCTCTCTCTTTTTTTATAATGAATTTTTAATAGGGAAGAAGATTTAGGTTAGAAAGAAAGATAGTTAGAGAAGGAATGAAAAAGAGTTTAACTCACTTCACGATTTTACTTCAGTTGATCCTGGTCATGGTACTAGACCATTCTGAAATACTTAAATGCACAAAGTAAATGTATTCTACAATAATAGCTCCCATTTATTGAATCCTTGTGGATACCTGGTGTAGCACTATAATATAAGCATTGGCCAGCTAACTGAAAGGTCAGCTGTTCAAACCCACCAGCTGCTCCTCGGAAACCCTATACTGGGTCACTATGAGTCAGAATTGACTTCATGCACTTAATAGCAACAGCAATTGATTGAATCTTTATTATAGTCCAAAAGTTCCTGGGTAGCACAAGTGGCTTGTGCTTAATTACTAACATATAGGTTGGTAGTTTGAACCCAACCAGTGGTGTCACAGAAAAAAAGCTTGCAGAGCTACTCTCTTAGAGACTATAGCCAAGAAAATCCTATGGCACAGTTATATTGTGCAACATATGGGATGGTTATGAATCAATTGTTATAGATCTTTATTATAGACCAAACACCATCATATATAATATATTCCATTACCAAAGTTTATTTTTATGACATGAAAGTTAAGAATTATTCCCCTCACCCTAATACTTTTATTGATTAAGAGGTTAAAAGTTAGGTAATTATTTTGAGTGAATAACTTCAAGTTACACGATCATTAAGTGGAGGATTAGGATTTGAATCTGGCTTTATTCCAATGCGTACCCAATTAGCCACTGCTCTGGTAGTGTACTGGTTATGAATCGGGCTGTGAACCTTAAGGTCAGCAGTTCGAAACTACCAGCGGCTCCGCGGGAGAAAGATGAGGCGTTCTTCTCCCGTAAAGATTTACAGCTTCGGAAACCCTGTAAGGGGTCGCTATGGGTCGGAACCGACTCGACGGCACTTAACAGCAACAACAACAAGAACCCTATATTTATTAGCTCAAGGCACTATCCAATAAAGCTGATGCAATCTTCATGGAATGACTGTTAAGATACTTCCTAACAAGGATAAAACTACATGATAATCTGTATATATTGAAGTCTAAACCATTTAAATGTATGTATTAACCAAATGGACAAAGGGATTATTTGAATGAGCAGGACAATGTAATAAAATTATTTTGTAGTTAATGTGTTATTCTTTGATTTGGCATATAGAGAAAATGGCCACTTAGTTTTGTATTTAAGGAAGCATACCCCATATACACATTTTTCAGAGGCCACTGACACACTTGGACACACACAGCCATTACTTTTTGCAAGTCAGGTCCTGTGGGAGGCACATTCCAGCTCTGTGGGAATCTGTACCCCTTGGGTCTTCTTGGATCTTCTTATCCTCTTATCCATAGCAAAGACTAATTAATCATCAGAGATCATGGGTCCCTGTAGACATCCGTGCCCGAGCCAACAAATTATTCCCAGGTTTCCTCAGTTGCCTGTCTGTTATGGATTGAAATATGTTTTCTCCAAATACATGTTGTAAATTCTAACCTCCATGCCCATGGTTATAATTCCATTTGGGAATGGGTTGTCTTTGTTATGTTAATTAGAGTAGGGTATACTTGAATCAATTTCTTTTGAGAGTAGAACTGCCATATAGGGCTTCCAGAAGCAGGTTAACACATCTTTCTCCTCTGGAGTGACTGATGAGTTTGAACTGCTGATCCTTCCATTAGCAGCTGAGTGATTAATTACTGTACTAACAGGGTTCCTTCTATTGAGATATAAAAAAAAAAATTAAACAAGGAAGCAGAGGAGAGATGGGGTAAGATAAATATCAAGACACATGGTGATCTTCAAGGAACCAGGAAGCATAAACTGAAGAGACAAGGACCTTCCTCCAGAGTCAACAGAGAAAGCCTTCCTCTAGAGCTGGCACCCTGAATCTGGACTTCTAGTCTCCTACACTGTGAGAAAATAAATTTATTTGTTAAAGCCATCACTTGTGCTATTTCTCTTATAGCAGCATTAGAGAACTAAAACAGGGTGTGAAAGAGGACCTCAGAGATGACTTACCTAGGTGGAGCAAAGAGCTAATGCAAATCCTGTATCTTTTAGAGCTATTTGAAACTTGCTGGTTTTTGTTCTGAGCCTACCAAAGCTTTTAAATGGTGTTTTGAGCTAGAAATAAAGGTACAGGCAGGATTTAAGATTGGGGCTTCTCTGTTGAAAAGAGATGGATTAACCCGATTTATAACAGGTTAATTATAGAAAGGAAAGGTCGGTTATATTTATTTCAGAACAGTAGCAGAAGAGAAGACCTCTATCCTCAAGGAGGTGGTGGTGGTGGCAGTGATGGCAGGGTGTGTGTGTGTGTGTGTGTGTGATGGAGAGGGATGACTACACACAGAAACCTAGTGTGATATAGAAGATTGAACACCTCAAAGAAGCCTAGGTAATAATAGTCAGCAGTAGTCCTGGTAGCGACGTGGTTATGAATAGGGTTGCTAATCTCATGGTCAGCAGTTCAAAACTACCAGCAATTCTGCAGGAGAAAAATGAGGCTTTCTACTCTCACAAAGATTTACAGCCTCGGAAACCCTGTCTGCACAGAGTCGCTATGAGTCAGAACCAACTCCAAGGCACATTACAACAACAACAACAAAGTCCCATTCATCTTCACTGCCTTCTCAGTCCTTCTGTATGTACTTAAACCTCTCTCCCCAAACACTATTCTTGCAGTTCAATGCCCAATGTGCCTCATTGTTAATTACAATCCAAGGTGATAAATCTGAGTTAGATTTGGTTGTAGGGAGTCTGCATCCATGTCAAACACTCTCCAGACTTTTTGAAGGTTTTTATTTATTTCTCCTAGTTCTTCCCAAGGCTGATGTGAAAGTTGAGCTATGATACTTCCTTGATTATAATCTGCCCATTCTTAATACTTTTGCTTATTTATAGTTTAACTTTAAGTGTGGGTCCATTAGAGGTATAGTTCAGCTTACCAGGTGCTCCTTGGAAACCCTACACAGTGTCGCTATGGGTCAGGATCGACTCGATGGCACTTAACAACAATAACAATGAAGAAAATATCCAGGAATATGAGGGAAAAATATACAGAAAATTATGAAAACAATAGAAAATATATTATATGAAAAGGTGTGTGGATAGCAGTGGTTTGTCCATGTCATTAAGAGATAAACTTAAGTTAAAGCAGGTAGCTTGGTACTGGACACAGGAAAATCACTTCTTAACTCTTGGGACTCAGTGACCCTGAAACAAGT